AAGAAGAAATTTTTTACGCTGAGGGTGGTGAAACACTGGAGCAGGTTGCCCAGAGAGCTGGTGGATGCCCCATCCCTGGAAACATTCCAGGTCAGGCTGGATGGGGCTCTGAGCGACCTGCTCTAGTTGAAGATGTCCCTGCCCATGGCAGGGGGGTTGGACTAGATGACCCTTAGAGGTCCCTTCCAACCCAAACTTCTATGATTCCATGATTCTATGATTTAAACAGGCAGGACTGGATAACGCTAATTCCTAATAGATGATGATCCATATCCTCAGTGACTAATGGACAGTAATGTACACTATCATCTTCAAATGACAAAGCACTCTGCTGCTCTATAAATACACAGCAGAGAGGCTGAACATTTTTGCCTTCCCACCGGCCGTCGTATCCTCTCCAGCTGCTCACTGACTTGCACCAATGGTCTCCAACTGGCACATCACGGGTTGCTTCCAGGCAACTGGGCCCCAAAGAGGACCTGGTCTGGTTTGGCTTCTTCCTTGAGAACCCCAGGGGTACAGCAGGGAGCTGGCCGGGGGCTGGAAGAGTTATTCTTGTGCTCCTAGCAATCCAGGGGTCCCTCAAAGGCAGGCCGGCACTTAGCTAAGACACGTCTCGTAAAACGTGTGGCAAATCTGGTTCTGTAGCATGCCAAGAGCCACAACAGATGGCCCTCAGGTCCTCCGCAGAGGCTCTGGCTTGCCCTGGCACATGGCCTGCTCCATTGCCTGGGCTTCCTTTACGCCTGCTATAGTCACTTTCATCCAAATTTTGTCACTCAGCTGTTTGGGGTTGTTGCACTTGGTGTAAACTGTTCCTTCTCTATCCCACTTTACTGTCACCTGTTACACGGAAGAGCCACAACAGATGGCCCTCAGGTCCTCCGCAGAGGCTCTGGCTTGCCCTGGCACATGGCCTGCTCCATTGCCTGGGCTTCCTTTACGCCTGCTATAGTCACTTTCATCCAAATTTTGTCACTCAGCTGTTTGGGGTTGTTGCACTTGGTGTAAACTGTTCCTTCTCTATCCCACTTTACTGTCACCTGTTACACGGTGTTACTTTTATTTAGTCCTTTGTAGCTGTTCGCCTTCTGTCACTGATCTAGAACAGCTTTTTAGCTAACACTGCTTCTCCTCCAAAACCGAAGCAGCATCAAAACATCATTTGTACTCTTGAATCGCCATTAACAAAACTTGCCGCTAGTCATCTTCAGCCTTGAGCCTCCTCAATAACCAAATCCGCCTCTGACCGTCTGGGACCAACCCTCATCCTGAAGCGAATGCCACCTTCCCGGCCGGTATTTTCCACACCACAGCACTCGCCACCAAGCACTAAACAGGTTGTCTCTCATTTCTCTTTTGGGAAAACGGTGCCGCCTTTTACTGGAGCAAACACTGCAAGGAGGTAACTCTTCAAAGTTCGTTCTCCATGAAGGTAACACCGTGTCACCGCCCCACCTCCACCAAACAGAAGAGGTATGTGCTTAAAAAGCCATTCCTTCTCCTCTCTAGTTCAACGAGGAGGCCTACCGTAGGCCGTACCTGCTTGGCGTTGATGTGATAGACCGAGAGCTGCTGCAAGGCTGCAGACACGGCGTCGCCGTCCCCGGAGAACAGCTCAGCCATCACCTCCCCGATGTTACTGTAGGGGATGGGCACACCCAGCAGCAGGGCCACAGTGGGCACCAGGTTCACCTGGGGAACAGCCTCAGGCTCCTGGAGAGACAGGGGAGGAATCGGAAATTTGGAAAGAACACTGCAACGCGGCTTTTCACTTGGATTAGAGGATGGTGGGGAAGACATCCCTGTTCAGAGGGGAATCTGGGGAAGCCAGGAGGGGGAAAAACACAGGGGAAGGCAGAGGCACAGCTCAGCTCTCCCCGAGCACCCTGCGGAGGGGAGGATGCCTGCTGGGAGCTGCAGGTCCTTAGGTCTGGCCCTGGCTGTCTAACAGCTCACCTGGCCCCACTCAGACACCCCTCACAGCTGGAGGGGCCCGAACGTGGGTCCCAAACACTTCAGTTACCTGCATCCCGTCTCAGCCTTTCCATTGTTCTCTTGGGAGAGGTGACAGACTCCCCACCCCTCTCAATCTAAACAATCCCAATCGAACCGTTACTCTCTGTAACCCCGGGATGCAGTTTTCACCCCGGATGCCACCTCAGAGGGTGGCAGCTAGGGGTCAGCTGCTTCTCACCTCTGGAGGGCCAGCGCCAAAGAGGGCTGTTTTGCTGTACACAAACAGCGCTGCATTCACTTCCTTCTCGCTGTCGCCGCCATGGTCTCCTGTCTCTGTCATGCCGTGGTCCCCAGCCACCAGAAGAAGGGTGTCATTCCCCAGGTGATCCACCAAGGACCTGTCACCGGGAAAAGGAAGGTCAACCCCTACCTGGGCAGGGTCCGAGGTAGCCCAGGTGGGAGAGGATATGTCCCCACCAAACCTGCCAGCATGACAGAGGTGAAGCCCACAAAAAGATCCGAGCAAAACTAAGCGCTGACGCAGAGCTGTAACAACTGACCAAGGACCAGAGCAACAGATGCTTTAAAACCGAACTGAGAATTCAGAGCCCTGAGACTGAGTGGACTGATCTTGCCTAGGTCCCCAGTGAACGGTGGCGGGTTCCTCAGTGCCTTCAGGGATCTTGACAAAACGCAATTCAGAAGAAAAGTTCCCAACAGGAACAAATTTTAGGCTACTTCTATTTAGGTCTCGTATATTGTATCATGTTGTGTGAGCAATCTCCTACTCCTAAGGAAAAAAGAGGGGATTTGTCCCTGAAGGATGCAGTAGATATGACACGATATACACTGTGCTCTCAGATGCAGCAGGGCAAGTTATCCACTCCTTCCAGCAGCAAAAATTAAAGCAGTCCTAACAGTCAAAAGCCGCAGCATTTTGGGCAGAGGCACGGCTGCGTGATCAGGATTTCTGGATCCCATTCTGCCTTCTGACACAAAGGCACAATTCACGGGCCTGCGCAGTAAATGCAGCATTCCCTAGCCAGGCTTCTCCAAGTGCTTCTCAAACATTAGCCAAACCTCAGTGTGACAGTGTCCTTTTTAAAGACGGGGAGAGTGAGGCTCAGCTGTACTCCAGCTGCATCCTCACCTGGCTGAGAACCAAGGCTCCAAGACCTGAAGACAGCCTTACCTCTGAAACCAAAACTCTCATGAACATGTGCCTACACAACCGAGACTGCCCTATAGCTGGGGTTTCAGCTACTGCTGGCCAAAGCCGTTCTCCGTGTTAACAGGCACAGTAAGCGTTCCCTGTTGCCCTCTGCGTCTGTCAATGCCTCGGGAAGACCCCACCAGCCTGGCTGACGGCAAAGGCCAGCTGGCGACCCCCCACCGCCGCACTAATCACCTGAGCATCTCATTCATCTGGGTGAGCTTCTTAGTCATTTCGGGATGGTCAGGTCCGTGTTTGTGCCCACAGTGGTCCACGCCGAGGAAGTGAGCAATCAGCACGTCCCATTCACCACTGTCCACTGCAGAACAAGAGCAGCCTTATCACTCACTAGCCTGGGATTCAGGCACGGGCTCTATGCATGGATCCTCCTGCCAGAGCTTTCTGGTTGCCTCTGGAAACTGCCATTTCTTCCCCTCCTGCCGTCATCACTCCCAGCTCTCATGCAGATCGATGCAGGTTTTAACAGAGGCACACTCTTGGTCTGCGGGTGCCTGGGTGCAATGCTGCAGGGAGCTCAACGCCCGGCGAGCGCCCCAGTACCCATGGTTTTTCTTCAGCGCCCCTCAGGAGAGGAATGGCCCAACATCACCCAAGTCACCTTGATATACCCTTAACTCAAATTGCCATCAACGGAGCTAAAGCATGGGGATGCTCAGGAAAAGAACCCAGAACTCCGGTCCTTCCCTGGAGATATTTCAGGTCAGCCGCATCGATGTGCCCCTCTGCATCCCACCCAGGACACGGGCACGGCACACCGACGCTGTCCCTAGCTAGAAAGTTACCCCGGCCCCTCCCCTCGGCTGCAGGGTCTCGACACATGAAAACCAACATATCTGGAGCTAAATGATGAACTGCAGCTCTCCCACAAGGCACAAGGACTTCCCTGTGAAAGGCCAGTGCACCCTTGATTTACTTAGATTCATACACACTGTCCCAGTTTCGGCAGGGATAGAGTTAATTTCCTTCCTAGTAGCTGGTACAGTGCTGTGTTTTGGATTTAGGGTGAGAACAATGTTGATAACACACTGATCTTTAGGTGTTGCTAAGTAGTGCTTACACTAGTCAAGGACTTTTCAGCTTCCCATGCTCTACTGACTGAGAAGGCTGGAGGTGCACAAGGAGCTGGGAGGGGGCACGGGGGGGACAGCTGACCCCAACTGGCCAAAGGGACATTCC